TTTCCCCTGAAATAAATTCCAGAGAAAATGCCATTTACCTCATACTCTATTGAGACACAGCACAGGGAAAATCGGATTCACATGTAATGCTTGAAAACGTTTCAGCGAAAATAAATTAAGTGAAATTGTATGTGACTTCATAAGAGTTGAAAATGAACAAATTATGTGACGCCCGACCTTACCACTTCATACACAATGTAGACTATACCCCCAAAACATCCTTTCACTCGCGGTTTCACCAGTGCATTCTATTTGACTTCAGAAGAAATTGAAATAAACAAATTATATGACAACGCACTTAATTATAATTTCAGCCTCTAGTTCAGCACTGATTAAATAAACTACCTCATCTTCATGCCAACTTGAAGTTATCATTCATTGCCTACATCAGTCACTTCAAAATACATGTTTCAATCCCAGGAATTTCACTTGCTATTAATTGCATGGGACTGCCAGTCTTTCATGATTTTCTATTGTAATATCAATTTTGCGATTACTCTGACCATGAAGCTGTAACCACAGATCGTCTAGATGATGTAATTAAATCCTTGTATAAGCACCGGTTAGGCAAGCTTGAACTATGCATGTGAAGCCAGCCGAGAGGTATATTCAATCCTATTGATTTCTCATTGTTTGGTAACTATTTGCTGCAAATGCAACAAAAACCAATATAAAAATATTACCCACACAGCATTCTACAGGTTACTTGTTATATTTATGATTTAGTTCTCAGCATCCATAGGTATCCTAATTGCAAATGTTAAAGCCAATTCTATTTGTAAAAAATAACCAAGGGCACACAAGCCGTAAATAATGTGCTTGCTATGAACATTAGTTTACGTATGTGTGAGAATGAAACTACGTGAAATTGATAGAATCTTACTTTTCCCCTTAGATTCATTCGTAAAACTGGCGGTAATAGGTGTTCATGGAACAGTGACCCACGTTTTATAAGCAGCGAAAAGTATATACGAGTTAAATCTGCCATTAAATCGGGAAAAATTATATCAAATAACAAATTTGTTGCGTATGTATAATCCTGGATGTCATATTACGTAGCGTGTCCATTTCAAACCATCCCGAGTATGAGTCCACAAGCACAAGGTAATGTAGACCATTCCATTGAAATATATCTGTTGCTACTGTTGACCATGGTAGATCTGGTACAGGATAGGATTTCTGTTGGTGTGTTCTCAAGCTATTACACACAGCACAGGAAGACAATGCCTTATCAATGTCGTCAGACATGCATGGCCAAAAGACAATATCTCGGGCTCTGCGCTTAGTTGCTTCAACTCCCGGATGTCCTCCATGTAGTAGAGCTATGTATTTGGCTCGTAATGATGTCGGTATAACTAATCTAAGTCCTTTCATTACAAGACCGTCATCAATTCCGTTCATCACGGAACGCATGGTAAGATCGAATTTCAGGCGAAAGCTTCTTCTACATTGGCCATCCGTGCTGAATTACATTAGTTAGCTTTCTTAGAGTGCTATCAGTACTTGTCTCAATCTTTAATTCAGCTAATCTTTCATCTGATATTGGCATGATGGTCATTACATCAAATTTCATATCTTCTGAATCACATTGCACAGTGTTACTGCATGGAGCTCTGGACAAAGTATAATTCTTTACCTTGTTTATACACCAGTGTTATGTTGAACTTTTGTAGCAGTAACATCATT